AGACCATCTTTCCCAAGGCAGCCGTACCAAACTTGCATGTTGGCGACCTCGAAGGGATCCGTGGCATCGAGGGTTTCGGTACCCGTCACATGGGCATTCCACAACTGGGCAACGTCCTTGTCAAGTCGCATACGCATCACGATTCGTAGGGCCTCCGAGTTCACGTTCTTGAGGTTTCCGAGCTCGACCTTAGACGCTGCCCATTCCTCCCTAAACTCCTCCTCGACGAAATCCGACGGCCATTCCGGAGCATCACCCTCATGGAAATCGTCGACCAAGTCATTGACGCGGCTTCCGAGGAAATCCACCTTTCCCTCTACCCTTTCCAAGCCTTCTTGGAAATTGTCCATCTTGTCGCAAAGCTTTTGTAGGAGGTCGATGACCTCACTGGACCCCGCGGATCCCGAACTTTCACCTTGTGGAAATACACACTTGTTCTTCTTTAATTTGCACCGTTCGCAAGTGCGCCTGCGGCGAATGAAACATCTTACGTTGTCTGTCTTACAACGTCCACAACGCTCTATACAGAGCAAATCAGCATAAGCGACGGGACCCTATGGAAGTCACTTACCGTTACCCTTATATTCTTCGTCGTCCGCCTGCATCTCAGGCTCCGTCTTCAATTTCTTCAAAGGCCTTCCCGACGGCCCCGCGACTTCCTCTTCCCCACTGACCACTACCGCATTAGACTTGATCTTACGCTTCCTCGAAACATCCACGGCCTCCGAATCGGTTGCCTTGCCCTTACCCTTCCTATCCTTCCTCTGCTTTACCAATTTTCTCAATGCCTTCTCCTTCGGGGCCTTCTCCCTTGCTTTGGCCTCCGCAACCTTCCTCTCCTGCCCCAATTTTTTCTCTCGCCGTTCCAACTCCAGAGCCCGCCTCTTTTCCTCCTTTTGTTTCTGCGCTTTCCAGGCCTCATGAGCCTCCGCGGCATCCTCCCTGGCCTTCTCCGCGGCGTCCCGCTCGTCATAAAAGACTTCCAGGTCTTCAGGCCGAATATCTTCGGGCGTCGGGGCAGGCTCATACGGTTTGGGCGTCACGGAAACACGGTACTCGATGGTTGACGACATGACGAACGACGAGGACGAAATTCAGAAAATAGAGGAGATGGTGGTGGTAGAAAGCTAAGAGGTGAAAAGCCACGTGACCAACCTGAAAAAATTCCACGCGGTCACACCCGGCCATCAGGATCTGCGTCCTTGAGGGCAAGAACGCTAAGGGGGGGATACTGTAACGAGCATGCCGACGGAAACCCCACTTCCACTCAATCCAACAAACCACAGCCCGGAATCCTACGGATTCCGATTCCCAGTTTCTATTTCATATTCCATTTCATATTCCATTTTATATTTCACTTCTCCATTACAATTTATCAATAGCCCGACATCGGTAGCGAACATCTCATCGGACCCCATCGGCTACCGACCGGTAGAATACATCCTCCGACAACCCTAGAATGTAGACCACTCCGAGTAGGAACTAGATCGGACTCCTAACTAGTATATAAGCCTTAGAATTACACTGTAGATACTCAGTTTGAATATCAACTTGGTTCAGCCCAATCTCTCTCTCTCTGACTCTAAGTCTAAACTCTCGTTCTCCAGTCTGCGGAACTCCGATCCGTTGGACTTATCTTTTACCTCGTCTCTGCCACTCCGCGGACTTCCGTCCGTATCCATCTTAGGGCTTCGGCTCAGGGGTGACGTTGCTAATAGCTTCGCCTATGCCCGACGCATCCCATGGCATTCCGCTATGTGCACTTACTGCCGCAAACCTATTGGCACGATCCTAACAGTGCAGTACCCAGACCCCTACATGCATAGCACCTCGCCACTGCCACCTTACTGAGCATCCACATTGGACTTCCCAGTTTTAGTCTCATTTCTATAGTGAGCTCACTAAACGCATGCCAAGAGGTGCTCTTCCGACACCCACAGGCTTGTTCTCTGATGACTGGCAGGTCTAGGCACATGGAACTATCAGTTCTGGCATATGTTTTAACAGACTTCCTTCTTGGATTCACAGAAGCTTCTCGTAGACATGGCAACAGGTGAGTCTTCGAACAATGAGACTCAGAACAATGGAATGTGGGTTTGCAGGCTTTGGCCGAAACCCACTGTCCAAGTTCTGCTGGTGATATCTGTCATCTCACATAAGGATTTCCCCAGATTTTCAGGTATGATGCATCATAGTTAGTGAGTGCGCTAATTATTCTCAATGTCAATGCAACCTTTAACATGTCATTTAACTCCCATGAGTGTGCTTGTAAGTTAGAGCATAATGCACTGGGTATAGGGTTCGGCCTTCTCGTTGTGCATGCCCATCAGGTACAGTGCTGTGACTAAGTCCTGTTTAGAATCCCGTTGCTTCTTATACCATAAGTTATATTCCGCATCATTGCACCACATAGCATTAGTGTCGACACGTCATTTTAGTCCACTCGCTCACTATATCTCAGGGCATGTGTAAAACATGCTAGATTGCAAAATTCCACATGTAAGTAGGCTGCAGTCGCAACACCATGACAACCTCCCATGAGATTCAACTAGATGATACAACAATGAAAGATGGTTACAATAACAGATTCTTTCTGAGCAAAGGAAGTAGAGAACCTGGCAGAACAGTAGTCATGCCAAGAAATATCGACAGCTACATGTACGACTGCATCCACACTCCAGCATTAGGTGTCACATCGTAAACAGCATCTGGATGGTTATTGAAAGTTGCATTTGGCATACTGCCATCTGGCACAAGTCCCTGGAGCTGATGCATAACAAAAACATTTTCTGCCTGAGTGGGAACTGGTTGAATGTGTAGAAGGGCACCAGTGGTGTTAGGTGACAAAATAGGGATGACAGGATTGCTTGCATTCATACTATATGAGGGTATGATGCTCTGGGAAGTGCTTACATAAGGTTCCCAGTTATTGGTGATGGCAGAGGCTATGCGGTACAAGTTCATGACAGCCTTGTGATCTATGAGGAGCATGGTGCACGTGCCTGGGTCTGGGGTGTCTGGATCGACCAGTTTGCATCAGTTTTCCTCTTGATATGATGACTGATGGGAGTACCTTTTGAATGAAGGCCACACAGCAAGTGGCAGGGCACTGGTGGACAACAGGAGAGAGGTAGTCAGCATGGGCATGAATGCCATGGCCACAAATGCAGTGGGACTGGAAGGTTATGAGCATTGCATAGAAGATATGAGGTAAGGAAGTTTATGCACCTGATCTAGAGTATGCCACTGTGATTCATCTCAATAGGGAGTAAAGCATGAACACTGACAGAAAATACTGCCAGCATGCTCAATGCATTGTTCCCTGATCAGAAGTGGGGCTGCTGAGGACATCAAAGGCAGGACTCTAGTGACTAGTGAGAATAGCAGGAGAGAAGGCAGTGGAGGTTGTCCTTCATGATTCATCTTGGCCTTCTTTATAGTTGTTTCTGGGAAACAGCTCATCGGATAGGATCTTCACCATCAGCGCTAAACAAAATTTGATGGAGCACCTATCTTTGTGTTGAATGTAGGCACAGACTATTAAGCATGGAAATGCCACCTATAGATATGTTAAGAATCAGGGTATTTTGAGCTAATACACGAAGTAATGAATACTCGAGTAAAACCTAAGTTGAGAGTGAGAATGTCTGAAAGCCGAGTTCCAACCACCAAGAGGGATCCGTAAGAGTGTTAACAAGCGCTAGGCGTAGTTAACGGGGTGTCAGCAAGTGCTAGGCATAACTAACAGGGTTTCCAAAAAGCATTAGGCATAGTCGGGAAGCAATTGATTGGCAAGCGCTTGGCATAACCGATCAGAGATGCTTAGTTCACACAGTTAAGTGGACTTTGAAGATGAGTAAAATAGCTTAAGATTCTAATACAAGGACAAGTACCATATTTATATACCAATATTAAGGGATTGAGTCATTATTATTCTAGTATTAGCAAGAAGAAGAGAGAAAGTAAGAGAAAGTAAGAGAAATTACTAGTAAGCCGAGGTCAAGACCGAGAAGGCCGAGAGCAGGCATGTGGTGACTCATGTATAGACCGAAAAAGACACAAGATCCATAACATGGCCTCCCCAGTCTACATATGCTGGAACAAGGTGCAAACCAAGTGAATGAAAAGAATTAGAACAGGTAAATATCATAGATTTGAATTGTTCTGCTGATTGTGGCCATAACTTCACGAATCCTGGAATCAAAGTGATTCTACACCCTTCACATATGGAGCACAAGGTTCATTGCCTTCGGAAATGTCATTACCGCCAGGCCTTTTGCTGTTACATGAGTCGAAGATTGGGTAAATGTCAAACTTGTTCTGCAATAACAAGCATGTATATGGGTAAATATCTAAGGGCAACATTTGCAGTGGATTAGACCTTATTTTATGCCTGGATAGGTACAAACGAAGCTTGGACGATACATGAATAGAGGAAGGCTTCATGCGATGAAGTGGGGAATCGGCAAGAGCCAGTTCCTCAGAGCAGTTTCCAAAACAGGAATGATATTGATGATGGGCCCTATCATTTCACCATCTAATCGATTCTGCCATCGTTCCATTCCCGCTTGAGATTGTGTCCATCTTTGTGCATTGCCTCAAGGTCTCAGTATCATTCACTTCGCTTCTTGATGTATGTAGGCATCGCCTATGCCCAATGACTTCTGTATCAACCTCTGGTAGTTGTGCAGTCGGTGCTAGGCCTGTTAAATGCGTTAGAAGACTGGCTTCTGTATGTCCAGAAGGGGTGATGGGAGAGAATGCGATATGCATGATAAAAGCATCACCTGATACGTCATTTGAACTAGTGATGAGCCGAACACGCTGATTTAATTGATTGTTTTCAGTTTTCTCTGTCAAATTGGGTTTCCATGATACTGTATTGAATGCGACGCTCTGTGGATGCTCTGTGAGTAGTCGCTTTAACTCTTGTTTAATCTCTGCGACTTCTGCTGTCATTGAAAAGTGGGGGTAAACTGAAAACCTAGGGAAACTGATTGATTCCGGAATAAGCGGACAAAGGAATTCCGATCGAGGCAAGCACTGAATCCTTGGGACACGCTGCTGTCAATCCCCGAGCCCAGTTGCAAGGTCCCAGTCCCATAGGACAGTAGAAATGGCTGGAAATTGAGGTTTCTGGAATTTACGCAAGTCTCGACAGTCCAGGAATTCTCCAAGTTCCTCATCTGCAAGAATGAAAGTGAAGCTGGGAAGGCAATGGAAGAAAGCCGTGATGAGTTCGCGTCTGGCGGCGATGCTGAACTCTTCGGAGGCGGCATTTGGAAACATCTGCGCCTTAATTCAGATAGCAAGTCGATGCAGATTATGCACTGTCCTAATATGCCAACTCTTTTGTGTGGTGCATGGTTGTCGTTGCATCCTTCAGCTTCTCCTACAAATGTCGTAAAACCCTTTGCCAGGAATATGAACAATACTGGTTGTATTCCAGTTTCTTATTGCTGTTAGAGAACAGCAGATGTTTTGAATACGAAAGACAGAGAGTCAGTAGATGAGGCAACAGGGTAGGTCTTCTCCTTGCTGCCAACGAGTTTCTCAGCTGACGTGTTGTTCGAGAAATAGGACACATTGCCTCATCAGGGAGTGAACATGGATCAATAATCTAGTGCTGTATCCTAGATATCGGAGCTCACCTTGTACTGGATAATGTTTCAAATATCGACGAAGCATTTGAGCCCAATGACATGTCTCTGGCTTAACATTTATACCAGATTCAAAATATTTTCTGTTGCAAGATGTGCCAGAATGTCGTTTGGGAGATGCATGGATAGAGGACGGCTCCATTGCATGATGATAGCAAGGGGAATCAGCTTTCATAGTTCCCAGTTCAGAGTTGTTTCCAAAATGGGAATAATATTGATGATGTTGATCGCCGCAGCCTTCCTTTTGCTGTGTTATCAATACCACCGTTTGTTCGTTCGCCCTCGAGATGGTGCCCGGCTTTGTGACCTTCCCCCATACATCAGAGTATCCTGTCTCATTGTCCAGGACAATGTTGACTTCAATCATGCCTTGTATGTTGATAACCGGATCCCGAATTTGATCATCAAGTTTCCCCATGGACCCGGTGCGCTGATTTCTTTCCTGATGGCATCGTTTTCTATTGGTCAGGACTTCTATAGTTATGTTTATGGCTTTGCAATTGCTTCCTGATGCATGAATGATGCGTCGTTTACATTGAGTGACACTCGTATGAACTTCCGTTCATGTCCCCATCAGCGCTATGTCCATCGAACATGTTAGAAGGTTAGTTTGGGCATTTCTGAAAGGGAGGATGTAAGAGACTGCAATACGCATGGTAAAACTGTGGCAGGGTACGCCATTTGAACAAGTGTTGAGCTGAATGCTCTGATTTAATTGATTGCCCTCAGTCTTCTCTAACAGCTTACACTTCGAAAATGCTGTGTTGAATTCACCACTCAGTGAATGTTTTGTGAATAGTCATTTTGTATCTCGCACAGTGGCCATGGCTTCCAGCGTGATAGGAATTGTGGCAGCGTTTGTCAAGGATGTAAGTGACATATCAAGAAATTGGTTATCATGGCTGGCAGTTGACTGTGATTTTGCAGGTATCACAGGCCACACTTTGGCTCTGACCGCTCCTCATACTGGCCGATGCTTTGAATACCAGCAATATTTTTGGGTCCAGTGGTACAATTGGAGTCTTATGATCTTGGTTGACTGGCTCACAGCTTCTGCTAAGGAATGAAACTCAAAGACCCGAAGCTCCTGTTCGATAGGCGATGGTACTATGGCAATTTCAACTTCAATTCCATGTCCAACAAGATATTGCCTATGTAATCGGCATTCATTTTGGCTGGTCTGCTCCTTAAAATTCATCTTCTGCTTGACGTGAGCTTTAGGCCATGAAGAAAGCATCCGAAGTGCCATTCAGGAGTTATGCATGATATACGAACCTGGGTCGAGGACCATCTGCAAGACATTGTGATCAAGGGTATTCACTCCTACTGGGACCGGTGTCGCTTTGCTTCTCATGACTATCAATCCTGACAGCTGCAGTATGCATTTTCTCATTCCCATCAGTATATGCTGACAATCACCATTAGTGGACATGACCTGGCAGGTAGAATGGAATATTTGCGATGGTCATCTCAGCACCCGGTCGATGTGATGTCTGACTTTGCATGGTAATCGGGAATTTTTGTTCTTTTCTGAGAAGTGTGTACAAGGTGTATTTGAAGCAATTCGAAAGGTACGAATCTCGCTATTGGTTGAATAGGGAGAGATTGGATTGCCAAAGCTATTATTCCAGGCTGGAGTATCAACGACTTTGTTCTTGCAACTATCCCTTGGATTTGGATTATTGTTGCAAGTAGGTATGTCAGTCGCTTTGAACGTGGTGTTATAATCAATGCTGGTATACTCTGAGCGATCGGAGTATGTGGGACTTTGTGAATAGCATGAATCGTGATGAAATGGATGTTTGTTTCCATCGGTGATGGTGTGACCTCGACCTGAGTCGAGATCGCTAGGAGAACATCCTCAGTAAATGCTTGTGTGTGAAGGATTTCTGCGGTCTAAATATTTTGGAATCTGAGCTTGGTGGGATGCCATAGGCAAACTCTCATGTCGATATGGACCGAAATTGTGAAGTTCACTGACTTTGGAATTCGCACAAAGACAAGACTGACCATGTATTTTAGTGACCTGCAGGTTGCTAGGATGCTGTTCCTCATCTCTTGAAGCATCATAGTGTACTCCCCCCCAACTCAAGTCGGAGGCCAAGGCCTGAAAAGAGGTCTTCGACTTGAAAGGATTGGAATGTGTTATAGGAGGAACAGCAGGAAGGTAATACTCCCTTTTCTCGAGACGTGCTCTGTCAGCATTGCGCTGAGCTGCCAGCAGTTTTTCATCTACATATATGTGTGTCTGAAGTTTATTCCAGTCATGGACATAATCAAGCATATGAAGAAAATGCTTGACCCGAATGCAATACTGGAAGGCATACAACTCAAAGTCATTGGCCGTCAAACCTTTTGCAGTGTCAATGGCCCATGCAGGTGGTCTGAGATCCGAATAACCAAAGCTATTGAGTGACGAGGAAGCTAATGCATAGCGAGTTGTTAATAGGGTGTGAAGATCTCGATACATTTTCTCATCCAATTTGTACACGACATCTTTCGTGAATGTAGTGCAGGCAAAAACGGATGTAAGAAGGAAATCTAGCATGCGAGTTTCTTCCGAGAATGTCTCAGTGTACTGGTTATGCTTCAATACACAATCACTGGTGGTTCATAGGTTATTCCCGAGTCTCTTGTTCTTGCTGAGCTTAAGTACTTGTATAATCCAATCCTTATGCTCCTGCAAACATGAATGTTCTGTGAAGGTAAAGAGGGGAACACAGGATGGCCACAAGCGAGTAACCTTCCGGCTATCAGTGTTGGAAATGTCAGCTGGGTCAACTGGAAACACAAGCGGTGCTGGAGGATCTGGAAAGCCGAGCGAATCACCAGGCAAATGCTGAGTTGGGGGAGAAGATTGCAAAGCCAGTAAATGGATTGTTGAAATGGGTCCCAGCATAGTAATTGAATTCAGTGTGAGTAGGCATGATAAGGTGCGGAAGCGAGCAGAAAATAATGAATAAAACGATTCCCTCTACAAGGTGGTCCCAATGTGTCCACCAATGTTAAGAATCAGGGTATTTTGAGCTAATACACGAAGTAATGAATACTCGAGTAAAACCTAAGTTGAGAGTGAGAATGTCTGAAAGCCGAGTTCCAACCACCAAGAGGGATCCGTAAGAGTGTTAACAAGCGCTAGGCATAGTTAACGGGGTGTCAGCAAGTGCTAGGCATAACTAACAGGGTTTCCAAAAAGCACTAGGCATAGTCGGGAAGCAATTGATTGGCAAGCGCTTGGCATAACCGATCAGAGATGCTTAGTTCACACAGTTAAGTGGACTTTGAAGATGAGTAAAATAGCTTAAGATTCTAATACAAGGACAAGTACCATATTTATATACCAATATTAAGGGATTGAGTCATTATTATTCTAGTATTAGCAAGAAGAAGAGAGAAAGTAAGAGAAAGTAAGAGAAATTACTAGTAAGCCGAGGTCAAGACCGAGAAGGCCGAGAGCAGGCATGTGGTGACTCATGTATAGACCGAAAAAGACACAAGATCCATAACAAGATAGATCCCATATATTAGTCCTGGATCATGCTAGTGCCTATCGTTTGCTGCCTGAGCTGTTCTCCCATGATTCCATGTGCTGTACAGTGCAGCACATCACTAAAGCTGTCTGCAAATTTGCTGTGAATAGATAATGAGCCCAAGGACAGAAAGGATTGAGGTGAAGATATGGGTAATATCTAGCTTCAGGCAACTTCTCCAGGCATGTCTGACCCTCCTAGAGAAACTGGTCTGCAGACAAAAAAAGGCCATCCAACAGCTTCTTGTGCATATAGGGAATGAATGGGATAAAATGTAGAGAATTCAACTCGAACCCATGATCTATACCGTTGTTCAGAAAAGATGCACCAGAGGCAGGTGGCAAGCTTTTAGCGATTGTCTCACTCCTAAGAGATATTAATACAATTAGCTACTGGATAGGATATGATTTCATAATTTGTGGACATCGAACAGTACTTCCATGCCCAGTCAGAGTACTTATGAATTGGCGAATACAAATATTAATTATAGAAGACCTTTCACACCCAGTCAGTAGCTAGTCAGAAGTGGAGAGTGATGAAAAGACTACTTAGAGTTGAAGGCTACAAGCTGGTATCTTTTCCTTCGACTCGAGTTGGGCCATCGAGACTATGCTCCTCTATAACTTATTTTAGCTGATCACCACTTCAGCAGCAATTGTTTGATTCTCTGCCACTGACTTTGATGTATAGGCTATGTATAGACTGTGCTGTAGCGAGAGGAAAAGGATGACTTTCTGGGCTTGAATTGTCGGAAATGGAAGGAAATGTAGATAATCAACAGATGCGTTGATATTGGGCAAAAAGGTCAGGTGCTTGAGCAGTCATCAGAAGTGCTGACATGTATAACAGAATCTCCTGATGAAATGCTGTTGTTGAAAAGATTATTCCCCGAAGCACTGGAGTTGGACACTCTAACTCATCTGTGGAAAAAGAAGAGAAGTGTCAAGCATCAACTTGACTTCTGCAAGGTCGAGCCTTAGTTTGCTCACTCGCACTTCAGTGAGATGAAACAAAGGTAGCAATGCAGATATCTTGTTGATAGTCAGGACTTAGATAGTCGTGGAGCTTGGAGTCGCTAAAGTTGGGAGTCGCTAAAGTTGGGAGTGTATAACCATAGCCGAAGCTGGGGTTTGTCCCACAGCTGAGGCCTACTTAAATACAAGTTCAGTGTGCTAATAATTACTATGCTACAATAAGTCCAGGCTGACAAAGTAGTGTTATCTGTCCAATGGTTATGCACCAATGAGTGTAGTATCCAATGGTGAGCAGTCAGCAAGACTAGCCAGGTTCTGGACATGTGGTGCCCTTGTGGACAGAACCCTGCCTAAGAGAAAAGGCCTTAGCTAGTCTGCCATGAACCAGGGATCAACTGATGGAGAAGCAACTGTCGGTGATCGGAACAAAGATGCTATGATAGAAGCATGCTGATGATGTGATAGTGTCAGCAAGCAGGTTATGAATGAACCAGGTAAGAGTGATGACAAGAGAGTGATGATGACCAAGGAAAGATGACATTATTACGATTTCGCGCTTTATCTTATCTTATCGGCTCTCTCATAATCTCGCTATGCTAATTCTCCGGACTTGATCGCATTCCACCATGAGGGTTCAGTATGTTTACCGCACCGTTGCAGACACTTGTAGTATATTTAGCACGACCCAAACTGTATTTAAGTAGCTCGACTGCAGGTCTTAAACCTCAGTCTCGAACTAAAGTTTATTCACCCGATAACTTAGTCTGAACTCACTCTCGCTCAACTAAGTGATAGCTCCCTGCACTCAAACCTGCGAGCAACATAAAGCGCCTGACCGAAGTGCAAGTCACGCTTAGTTGTTTGATCTTGTTTGTGTAATCAGTTGCTAACAATTAGTTCGAGATTTTCTTACTCTTCATCAACAACCATGTTGACGAACAGTAACGAATGAACCCTATCGAACAAACCATCACCGACCTCATCAGACTACAAGGCTTCATTGCCATAGCCTACCTTACGTTCCTCTATGGATACGAGTACCGAAGAACCCAGGAGCCAGTCTCCGAAGAAACTGTCCCCGTCGAAACCCCCAACCCGGAGGCTAGACGACCGGACACACCCCCCCCCGACTATGTCGACGACAGACCTGAACCCATCATCCACTTCATCTTTATCAACGACGATGAGTGGATCACAGAAGAAGACTCCGACTCAGATGAGTCCAACGAGTCTGACCCCGAGGTGGAAGGATGGCCCACACAAAGAGGCCCAGTCGTTGAAGAAGAAGAAGAGCGAGGAATCTACGAGCAAGGGGTGGACCAGCATGTTCTCTCTCCCATTACCGAAGAAGAAAGCGAAGGGGAAAGCAAAAGAAGTGATCCCTGGGATGCCCCTTCCCCAACCTCCACCAAAAATTCAGCCGCCAACCCTGGCTATGATTCAAATGGACAGCGCCTCTATCAAAGAGGGCTTAGACATCATCTGGGAGAAGGAAGAGAGGCTGAAGATGGAACTGGAAGCAGTTCAACTGAAGAAAGCAGCGATACAGAGGAGGATGGTGATAGCGACGAGCTCCCAGGGCCGCACAACAACTGGTCCCCTCCAAGGCTGGACTCAAGAGGAGAAACGTGGGGCAACTACTATGCCCGTAGCGACTCCTCCGACGATGAAGGAAGCTACCTTCAGCTCGTCACACGTCCCAACACCCCGATCATCCTCAACGATAGGGCCGGGGAGGCCACTACTGAGCTCGACCAATGTGAGCCCACATACGACGCCGACACCAGCTGCGATGTATGCAGACGAACACAGGACTATGCTGACACCTGGCTCATGTACGAAGGCATCGAACCCCCTTCCTCTGTCGTCCCCTATGCAATCTACCCCCTCGCACCCAAACACCCACTTGCAGCCCCCGTCCCCTACATCGCACCCTGGGTATGGGACCAACCCCGAAGACCCGACTTCAACCAAGTCATTCTCAGGGTCAATGAGTGGGCCCAAATCATTCGAAACTGGAACCGTATCGTCACAGGAAGCACGGAGCCTTTCGAGCGAGTCCGACCAATCGGACTTAGAAGAAGGCGAAATTTACGAGAACCCTGGAATAGGGCCGACTTCGATTTACAGCAGCAGCATCGAGTCGGAGAATATGGGGAGGAGGACATCATACCAGAATTTGTGGAAGGATCTAGCTCGGGAACCCACTGAGGCCGAGCTAGAAAATATGACTTATTTGGAAATGTTGCATTGGACCGAAAAGAAGTTACCACGAGAACTATCGTGGAACAGTTCACCGCAGGGAAGGTACTTCCAAAAGGAAAAGAACTCGCCGATCGGAGCCCACATGCTCTATCAAGAAACAATCTTCCACACAAATAATCTATGGAACCAGGTTCACCCAGACGACTACGTAGAACCAGGAGAACGGTACACGGTACCAGTACCATCGGAAACATCCAGTGGAGACATGGTGGACCTAAGTCACCTATCAATACTCCGAAGAACCGGGTACGTCGACCCGAGCAGACTATTCGCCGCAGCAGGAACACCAGGAAGTGCAGGAGCAGCAGCAGCACCGATTCCGCCTGCGGCCCCAGTACCGGTACCCCAAGGCCCCCTATCTCCACATCACAATCCTGCGCTACGATCACTACCATGCCCGGCAGCAATTCCCATCCCTGCTGACCCTGTACAACCACCAAACATGCCACCACCGTTCATAGTCGGAGTGGCCAACACGAACCCATGGGCACAAGTGAAACCGCAATTGGCAGAGCCACCCGAGAAGTTCAAAGGAGAGTCCAACGATGTGGACCGATTCCTAAATCAGTGCGAAGACTACTTCCAGGTCTTCCCGCAGCAGTTCACTATGAACGCGCACGGACAAAGCCCTAATCGGGTTGTGTTCTGCACATTCCGATTTATGGATAAAGCCCTACATTGGTGGAATCACGCCAGGGACGAATATTATGATGAAACATGCGGTTACCTGCAATATCCAGCATGGCAAACATTCAGGCAGATCATCGAAGACCAGTTCC